TGTTAATTCTGTACCAGTTGGCTCCAGTCCTTACTGCCTGATTCTTGAATGCAAAGTTAGCTTTGGACATAAAGATTCTTGGACCCACATTTGAATTATTTCCTCTGGTTTGACTCTCACATTTGCTCTCCAGAAATGGCAGCAGCATAAAGGTACCATAGGAAGGTTAACATTGAAGCAGTTAAAGGTACCCCGTACCTCCATTGAATTTGAGTGTTTTTGATGAGTACACGTGTGAACTTTAGGGCCAACTGAGAAGTTGGAGGGAAAAGTCCTCAAGAGAGTGCACCTTCCCTTCTGACGCCAGTTGCAAGTTCAGGGGATTCCCAAAAGCACTATCCGATTTGGTGCAATGCTAGAGGGACTCACATAACGTACTGAAAGCTGCTACGCTCCGGGTTATGGTTTATTATAGGGAAAGGATGCAGATTTTAAAAGGCAAGAGAAGATGCACATAGGGTGGAGTCTGGAAAAGGTACCAAATGCGGAGCTTCTGTTGCCCACTCTGCGTGGAGTCAGGACATATTATTTCCCAGCAGTGATGTGTGACAGTGTTCTCAGAGCATTTTCGACCAGGAAATGTACCCGAGCCTTTGTGTTCAGCATTTTTACTGTGGCTCCATTACATAGGCATGATCCACTGCCCACAGGGCAGATCTCAGTCTCCAGTCCAACTTCCTAATCCATCGAGCTCCTAGTGGCTCAAAGGCCCCACCCCAAGTCACATAGTTGGTGTGACTCAAAGTCCCAGATAAACAAAATCACTCCTATCAGGCAGGACTTCCCAGGAGCTCAGAGATTACATCCCAGAAGCTGAGGGCCAAGGCCAGACTTCTTTTTGGATAAAGTGAAATTCTCTGCTATACAGGATGAATACAAAATAAACACAAATAAGATTTGGAACACCCTTAGACTCACTATTAACATCTATCATCTACCTCTTAAATACTCTTACCATCAAGAACACATCAAGACTCAGTCAGTGAAAATTATCCTAAGATCCCAAGAAGAATTGACTGATCAGCAAAAGACTTTAAAACAGGTCAAAATGAAATTAGCATAGAATGAGATAAAATAAAATATCAGGAGGCTACAGCCACAGGCCAGAAAAGATTGAAATAAAGAACAGCTGGAGGAAAAGATAAGGCAAAGTAAATTATGCATCTTGCAGAAAGGGTAGGTCTCTCAGGACTGCAAAAGCTCTCTAGGATCCAACTTTCCAAGGCACTCCCCCTACCTTGGGAGCTGTAAGGTAACATTTATTGAAAGAAGCATTTTGACAGTCTCTTCAATCAGGAGTTAATAATGGATGATTGTGTGTGCAAAATCTCATACTGCTGCACACAGGCACAAGTGGCCCAGGCTGCTACCAACCTTCCAGGTTCAGAAGATGAGGTAATAGATGAAGGCTAGTAAGATGTCAGAAATACAGCTCTCCTTTAACAAGGAAGAAAGGAACATTTAAGAGGTCCTGGGAACTGCCTTTTTGGGATGGGGAAGGGGAACAGTTTTAAAGACTTGGAGTGAGAGGAAAAAGTGGATGTATCCCTAAGGATCTTATGTTCTTAAAGCTATTTATCACATGGCAGAGATCAACAATGCTCATTCTTGTCCATGGTTATTTTGCCCCCTTATGCTTTGAATTCTGATTTTGCAAAGCACGTGCTTTATGCCAGATACTTTCATTTAGTCCTCATGATTCAAAAGAGGTAGATATTATCTTCATTTCACAGATGTGGCCAGGTCATTTGCCACAGGATATGCAGTTAGCAAGATAGAGACTCAGGGCTGAAACTGGGCAATCTGATGTCACAGTGATACCTGGAGGTTTCATGATACCTGGAGGTTTGGAAGAACAGTTC